GTAATGCAGGAGTACAGGGTACCTCATCATTTTGGATCTCTGGCCCCCGAAAACCTAGTCTGGCCCCCCCCAAAAAAAATTCTGGGAACGCCCCTGGGGGGAAGGGCATTAATGCCCCTCCCGAAAATGTTTGTTTCATACTACCTCTGTCGCCTTCTGGAACCGATTCCCGAGATTTCGGGGCCGCAGTCATCGTGTGCCCCCCTCCAAAAAAATCCTGGATACGCGCCTCAAGGCCGTCGTTATATTCACCTTCATAGAATGGGATGCAGTCCCGAGATTTTTCCGGCGAAATCCGCATCCACCGCGGCATTCGCGGCGCTCAATTTCGCGGGAAGATGCCTCGAGCGTTCGCTCGGAAAAAGTTCTGAACTTTGGAGACTCGAAGCAATCCGGTGAGATCATCCAACTCGTGTCATGTTGACTTATCTACGCTACGTTTTTTGCGATGCTCGAGCTTGGCGCGTAAACGGGGTCAGGATATATCTGTAATAATAAGAATGAGACTCATCGACCATTACTGTATCTATTGCTTCAGCCATCCGTGTTGACTCGCACGCATATTGACGTATTATCAGTGACGTATCGTACCGACCGTCTCTCACTCCTCTCATCGATGAAGACCCCGATTCTCTGGGACACTGCTTCAGGAGGTTCGCGAACAGAAACGACGCGACCCGGTTATCAATTAACTTGATAACTCCGCAGATGAAATATTATCATTGGATAAGCTCTGAATTCAGCCAATTCCGATTTCAGGAGAGCTACGAGTGTCAGGTCGAAGAAAAACGTTTCGTTGCTGCCGAGGAAATTCTCCACGCGTTCCTATTGCCAGAATCGGTGAGTTCTTTCAAGCCAACCGGCGGATCGATCGAGTGTTTCAGCTCATTTGACGGACGACCGTTCCATAGGCGTCAGCGGAGCGTTCTGGAATCCATTCCGGGTGTACCTTGCTTCGAAAATCGTTCACCACGTCAAGACTAGTGTATCAGTCGCATCGACCCTGCCTGAATCCCCGATTCCGTCGGGGAAGTGCTAAAATCATTCCGAAGCTGGCTTGAAATACTGAGAGCGACCTGTGCAGCTTGGACCTTATCGTATCACAGGGGGCACCCGAAGCATCCTTGAACTATGTGACGGCACTGATCTCTTCTCTCGAAGGGCTCTTGAAATCCTCCTACTCGATGTCCGACGGCTCCCGAAATCCATCTGTCGTGAAGGGGAACGCGATTCTCTACGAGAAGTTTCGATGTCGAAGATTATTGTACACGTCAAGATGTTCCATTGACTTAAACTCGGAAGCAGCAGCCATGTGGTTCTGACTCCACTTCGGCCAAGATAATTCCCCGGCTCCATCAATATGTCGCAGTATCTCGTGCCGGCTGTCACGTGATAATTAATGTCGGCAGCAAGCGATGATTCCTTATTATTGGGGCGGAGGCCTGGCTGCTCGTGATTCGCGGACGCGGGACTGATAGCGAATGTATAGACTTCGATAAGGAGACCCGGGGTATACCCTTGCCCCGACTCCGGGCGCCCATCCACGCAAGAGAGCGATCTTCGAGCGTTTCTGCTCGGTGCGCGCCCACGTCTGTTTTTTCGAGGACACGCTACGCTCCTCGGCTTAGCGCGGCGTTCGGGAAGTGGCACTCTGTCTGAGTCTGTTGACAGCCCACGAGGGAGGCGTTGGAAATTATGTACTCGAGTACCGCGACTATCATGAAACTCTTCCCGACCAACCCCCTCTGGTGCGATATTATCAACGATATCCAGCAGTGTCTCGTTGTAGCTTCTCTGTCTGTGAATCTCTGAGCTCGTCCTCGTTCCCAATGATCCACAGGTCTATCGCAGCAGAAGAAATCGCACTGGAGAGTAATAATAATTTCAGGGAAGCGAAAGATCTCCAGCGACGGAATTATTTCCGCAGCATGAGACCAGCGCCAAACAATGGGGATTATTCCCCAACGTGGGAAGAATGCCCACCGACAGACTGTCGGGCGAACAGAAGGTAGTGGCCGTTTCTCGTGCTAATTGATTGGAGGTGGACAATCTTTCCGGGAGCTCTAGAAATGATACTCGCCCGCCCCTCTCCTCCCACCCGCCCCTCGCCCTATCGTCAAGTGCTCTGCATCGTCGACCGGATGGCTCGAATCCCTAGGCGTCGAACACGATTTCGTGTTCGGAAGCGAAATATATCGCGAGCGGTCCCGGATACACCTTATGTAAAATGTTTCCCGGGAGGTTCCTCGCCCGCTCTAGCCAACGTCGAGGCTGACCATCTCGAGCTCGTTCTAGACCTACGTGGTGGATGGACTATAAGGATTCATTCATGTACCTACCGTCAACGGACGTGTCATCGTTCTATTTCGGGCAGGCAGACGCACGGCGGCACGCTTGCACACGGACGCTCGACTCCTCCGCATCTTTCAGCAGTCTTGTGTCTTCCAAGCGAATGTTCATTCCCTCGAACTTTTCATCCGATGAATTTTTTTCCATTTCGGAAAGCATCGAGACTCTGCCTAGTTCTTTCGCTTTCACGCCAAATGGACTCTCGCTCTGTGGCATCTTTCAGCGTTTCTGTATCCTTGCCAAAAAGATTCGTTCGCCAAACACGTAGCTGCATCATTGCCAGACATCTGCACTTCGAGTTCAGACCCGAGAACACAAAAGATATCATCAACTCGACCTCCGGAATGGATGAATGAGTGAATGGGATGCGCTCGACCGATGGCATTCAAAAGGGAGCGGCTCCCGGAGTCGCACTGTTCGGGGATTGATTGACTGACTGAAACAAATATTCATGCACGACCGGAGACAAGGAATTCCGACTCTACGTGACGCTCTCTAAGGGGAGCACTGGGAGTCTCGGCCGCGCTGTATGTGTCTGCAGTAAAAGATTATCAACGATATAAATATCTTCGCGGGTACGTTCTGTGGGTACAGGGGTATATTGCAGATATCTCTATGCCTCTCGATCGCGAGAGTTATCTGGAACGAAACGAAGTTGCGTGACCCGGAGCATCGGCACTGAAATTCTTCTTCGAACCTGGGGCTGTCAATCGCACAGTATTCGCCCGCTGAGCTCTGCGGCAGGTCGCAGAACTCCACGTATTGTGGCATGATTCGCGCTTATTGAGACAACATCGGGCCCAGACCCCGGGTCCGAGCTAATTAAGGGATGAATGTGCTCTGTGGAAGAGGACTGGCTCGACAATGAAGGGTCACCGCCCACCCACCTGGTAAAAAAAGGTCGAGAGTCGTTGACTGGAGTCCCAAGGTCGTGGTCATGATAAACGGTCCAGGCCTGTAAAGAGCAGCTGACAGGAATATTCCCGAGGACCTCGACGGCGAGCTGCCATAAGCTCAAGACGGGCAGACGTGACGATCCGGATAGAGCAAGTCCATGTCACCAGGAAGCGGAGGGCTCGAAACAATTGCGAGGGCTTCCAGAGGCGTTCAATGGAAGTAGTCTTAAATGGGCAGACCGATGGGGAGCCGGAGCATCAATCGCAATTCGAGGTAAAGACCTCGTAGTTTTCCCTCCCGAGAACAGTTTTCCACTTATTCCGAGGGAATCTCCGGATAGAGCTGACCCGGACTGGATCTCAGCAGCGATCGTCACGCTCCCGATCCGAACACGTCTGCGAGCGCGGTTCCTGTGCGAAGTTCCCGTGGTCAATTCTTGAATGGCTTAGCGAAGAAATGTGAGGAGCTGGATCCAGGGGGAACCGTTGTCTGTGGGAAGAGCGAAACTTGTGAACCGATATTGGATCGACCACGGATGCATTCGACTGTCGTTCTGTGGTTATGTATGCGCGTCGCGCTTAGATTTCGGGAAATCGGCCGGGCCGCGACCGCAAGCGCCGCGGCATATTGACCGAGCTCCTCAGAACAATGTTTTCGAGTGGTCAGGGAGCTTTCTGAGGGACACGTGATTCGTCGCGCGTACTGGAAGCCGGGGAGAGTCTGCGGGAGAGATGCGGAAAAAGAAATTATTCATGGTTCCAGCGTCGTCGTCAGCCAGTTCGAAGGAAGTGATTTTTCAATTTTCCCAGACCGGGCGAGGGAGGGAGGGGTCGGAGCCCTATACTTTTCCTCCGAGACTCGGTCCTGGCAAAATCTACCCCTATCCTAGTTCATCCAGAGGCGCCTCTCGTACGAGGTCGAGCGGGGGCGATACCGCTGGACAATGTACTAAATCGGGGCAGGGATGAAGGACATAGATAAAGGACTATGCAAAGAACTCCTTCTGGGTTTGAGGAGAACCATGCCGCCGGCTCATGAATAATCGATTTTCACTTCTTTGCTTGACAGACGCATTTTTCCGACATTATCAACTGTGATCTCGTGGCCGAGCTCCGGAAACAACTTGGCTCGCCGGACGACACCGAGAAACCGCTGAAGGATTTGTTCGCGCCTTGCACCGGGTATGTATTCGACGAGAGTCCCAAATATTTCGAAGAACTCAACAGAACGATGAAGAGTCCGCTGAGAAATTCTCCTGTGCAATCCGACAGATCGTTACCGAATAAGTTGCCTAGCTTTACATTTACCAACCACCAATTCTGGAACCATCCGGGCCTCCTGAGGGGCTCCCCTGAGATTCGTTTCGTGCATTACCATGATTCCGCGGTCGGAAGCGCTCGGAGTGTAGATCTTTACTCGCGGTCTTGTCCCCGGGGAGCGAACCTTCGAAAATGTTGCCGACTCTTTCGGTTTTTACATCTCGCGAAAAATCGCCCGAAAGGAATATCTTGATCCTACGGCATCATTTGCCACTCTTTGTATTCCGAAATTTTCGAATCACCCTGCGTCGATCCATCTCAGTACATGAAAGGCAATCGGCGCTTGGCGGTCGGTCCGAGTCTCATTGAGGAATCGATCTATCGCCCTTGAACCCGGGCCTCTACCGACGCTGGATGACCGCACTTGATAGCCTCCGTCTACTCGCTTGATCGATTGGCCGTGGACAACTACCTCCCCGCTCCTAATACGGTTGGGGCTCTGAGACATCGGCAAAGCGCTCGCAATTATCCTCTAATTATCTCGGGATCGGCAACGTCATATTCAACTGGGACCTATTAGGCCGGTCTTACGAGTCGGAGCGTTGCGATTGCAAGTCGGATCAAGCTCATCCAGTGCATCGCGTCGCCCCTATCTCAACCAGTTGAGGGTCTGAAAGAACAGATTGGGCTCCGCTGAACTCCTGACGGGAGGCACCGTGCCTCATTCCGCATCATGTTTGGAAACTCGAGCTTCGTCGATCTTTCACGAAGCTCGTATACGTTTGTGATACATGGCGGGTCAATATCGAATCCATTCGAGGCTGGAGTTCTGATCCCGTGATTAACGAGCGGATTCCGCCTTCTCCTTCCAGAGCTCTGAAAGAGTATTTGAGCGGTAGTCCCTTCGATGAGTTCAAGGAGACGATGTACTTCCATAGATATCTCCAGTGGAAATGGCTCGAGGCACAACCAGTGACACAGAAAACGTTTCGGATGTATCGAGTTCTGGGTGAGTATCGTTCGAATGATTCAAATCGTTGCGCCGACGCGGTGGCCTCTGAAGTTCCGCTTCGATGCTCGGATAGGCGGATCATATCGATACGGTTGTTCTGCAATGCCTTTCTACACTTCTGTTCTGTGAGCCAGGCTCTCTGACACTGAGATACGTTCTTTCCAGGCAAAGGCGGTTTCGGGGAAGTGTGTGCTTGTCAGGTGCGGGCGACGGGCAAGATGTATGCGTGTAAAAAACTAGAAAAGAAACGGATAAAAAAGCGTAAGGGAGAAAGCATGGTTCTGATCGAGAAACAGATACTCCAGAAAATCAACTCACGTTTCGTGGTAAGTTCCGGACCTCAGAGGTCAATCAAGCGGTCGCCGATCAGTTTTTGAGATTAGGAATTCGGTAGCTTGGAGATCGCTCGGACGCTGAAATAGAGAGATCGCGAACGGACCCAAGACTGCCCCACAGCTCGCTGGACGCGTTTCCGTCGGCTCAGGGTCAGATTTCAATTCGATGCAAGGGTCGAATTCCTTGTCGTACGAGCAGATCAGAAGGAGCATCAACGAAACTTTCTCCCCGCTCGAGGGCTCTGCTCCTAGTTGAGTATTCCGAAGTTGAAGTCGGAAGTTCACCAATTGCGGATATCACGGTGGCAAACCGTTTGCATCGAACCTTCCGGCATTTTCATCTTGACCCCGACGTCAAACCTTCAACCCGGAAGAATGCGGGAAACTCACTGTTTTTTCACGGGACACGCAATCGTGGTAGGAAGCGCGCGATGAGAGCTTCCGAAGCGTTGCAAGCCTCGGGTCGAAGCGGAGATTAACGCGCAATTTCCATTCTATGGAGCGGGTGTATGAGCAAAAACTCCCGTACCCTGCAGAACGGTTCGGCAAGAAAAATTTCCGCCGCAAAACCCTCTCCGAATCGATTCCCCCACCCACGCCTTCCGTCGGCATCTCATGGCCGACGAACATGTCGGCGATGCATGTGAACGGGTTCTCCAGCAGGCTCCCACGCAACAAGGCTCCCAGATGAGTTCGACCATTGGATGAGCGCCCAGAACAGTCTACACGCCACTTGCAGATTTGCTTCCCCTCCGTGAAACAACGACCTCCACCTCAAGACACGACGTTGGATCGCGCGTGGCTCTCCGGGAAATCCGCGGTTCCCATCATCTACGCCGATTGTCGGGGTAGGGACCTTGAGCCACGGTCGACCGAATTTCGGTACCTCACCTTCGCGCCAGAGGCTCGCGAGACCCTTCAAGGTGAAGCCAGAGAGGGGCTGAGACGAGGAAGGGACGCGTAGGTGAATTCCGCGAATCCTACCGAGCCGTCTTTGTGGTCTCAATCGTTCTCGCCCCGAAACTTTGAGCGGGAGACGACATCGATCTTCGGTTTCTGGAGAAAAGTCACTGTGTTATGGTGGATAAAGAGAAGAGGATGTTCTTTCGAGCGAACGAAAATGTGGAGAAGGGACCAGGCTCCGCATATAAGCCGACGTGACGGTAGGGTGCAATGAAGAGTCGGGCACTACGAGCGACTATCAAAATAGAGATTATTCTGTCTGGAACAATCAAGTTTTACTGTGGACGCTAAGCTATGCCGACAGGAGAATTCTCTCACGGACAAAGTGGTCGGTTATCCCTCCCTCCTTCCCGTATCTGACTCACGCCTCCGTTCTTCCTGTACAGTCCACTTTTAGACGCGGTGACAGTCGGTAGAGTTCAGCTCTCTGAGCCCAAACTCTCGTCGGAGGAGCCAAATGTATTACGAGGACCCGGAAGGGGGGATGGGATGAAGGAAAACCACAATATCCCAGACCCTCCTCTAATTCCCGCCGCATGCCTCATCACACTTTAATTTCCCCAACGATATGTACAATCGTGACAGGAATTCCAGCCAGCCAGAGACGCTCGCGTCTCGCGACGTCCACGGACGAGTCCAATAATGAGAACCAGCGTACGGCGCGGCGTCGGTGTCGAAGCCGACGGAATAGCGGTGCGGAGCTCAGAGGTTCAGCGTATCCGTGCGAGACAGCACAATAGGCTTACGAGACTCAAATGAGAGCGAGGGACTCATGTCTACTCATATAATTGCTCTTCAAGGTCGCATTTCAATTCTTTACTCCCTGGTCGACTTGTACCGCGCTCAGCTGACCTCGTTTGACCTCCGCGATTTCCAAGAATCGCGGCTAAACTTCTGCGGCCCCCCCCATTCACCTACCATGCACCTTACAGGTAGCAAATATGTGCGACGTAATTCAAACTCGAGCGCTCGTGCAACAGGAACCCGAAAAATGAAGCCTGGCTACGTGAGAATCATTGGGGTATTTCCCTCGCTCAGGAACTTGAGCGTGAATGTTCTCTGAGTTATGTGGAAGAGGGAGCAGCTCAGACACTATCTCACCCTACAGAGCGAGGGACAATACAGTTCCGCGAAAATCCTGAGTCCTCGAATCCCTGTCCTACCAGAGAAACGAATGCGTACTGCGCTTGTGTAGCATTCGGACTACTTCCCGGACGAGTGAAGGAACGAAGCGATGCGAAGCAGAAGGCGAAGGTTAGAGGCAGAGCCCGATGAGGATAGGGCCGTCGGGAGTCGAGTAGCGGGCCGAAACGTAGTAATTGCATTCCCTGGCGGAACCTTTTTTGCGACGCGTCGGCGGAACGCATGCCGCACCCGAGCGAAAATACGTACGACCTCAGAACCAAAAAAGCCCGCTGTTTGCGAGAGGAACAGGCAAGATATCGAGAAACAGCGTCGGCGATAAACAAAGCTGCGGTTTCCTTATGGCGTCACCGACATTCCCTGCACTCACCGATGGCTCTCGACCGCAGTCTCGGCTGCACTGAAGACTTATTTATATCCACTGCTGGTCGGAGAGACGGTGGTGATACAATGGTGATGGTGGTCTTGTGATAGTACAATGATCGTCACAAATAGGAAACGGCTCCATCCATTACCTACATAGAAAGAACAGAAGCCAGAAAGATGCTCGCTAGCCTCTGTCACTATTCCTGCTGAGTCCACTGCTTCCAATTACAGGTGAGTTTGGCATATGCGTACGAGACGAAGGATTCGCTCTGTTTGGTTCTGACGATCATGAACGGGGGTGATCTGAAGTTCCACATTTACAACATGGGTGGCGAGCCCGGTTTCGATCTGGAGCGCGCTAGGTTCTACGCTGCCGAAGTCACCGAAGGTCTCGACCATCTTCACGCTCAGAATATCGTCTACAGAGATCTCAAACCTGAAAACATCCTACTAGACGACCATGGTGAGTATCTTTCTCTCAACATTTAGATACGATAAAAATCTGAATCCACTAGACTTTTAATGAAACCAGCATCCGCGGACGATTTGATTTTCGATGCGACAGTTATCCGGAGCGGTAGTCCGAGTAGATCCGACCAGACACCAATCGAGATTTTTTCCTTTTCCAAGGCTGCCTCTGTTGAGAGCTCACCGTGAAAAATTTTGTATACAAATTCGACTTGGTTGGCAGTCGATAAAATGTTTGAATCTTCCCCCTTCATTGACATTTCCGCAATCTACTCCCGACTATTTCTCTCGGCTCAAATACATATCAAAACCATTCTCGCCCGTTCTGTCGAATAGTACGGGGGTCGAATCTTTCATCTAGTACGAGCCTTATCGAGAATCTCTACTTTACGTCCGGATCGCCTGCTACCTGAGGATGAGTCAATGAGCAGCAACAGGAGACTCGATTCGTAAGCGTAAGGGGATCGTCTTGCGGACCATATGATATTTTCCGAAAAAGAGGCTGTTTTTTGTCTCCGAACGTCCACTCGATGTGCCCACCGGTTCGCTGACTCAAATCCATTGGTTTCCGAGCAGCTTGGTGCGCGCCATTCCTTTCTTCTTCCCAAATCTAGGCCTTCGTCCTCGTTCACGTCGAGCGTCGACCCGCCTACTCGAGAATTCCTGTATGAATTGCCTCGATCGGAACATCTAGGAGCTTTCAGGCTCTCTTTCTCGCGGCTCTGATTCTGTTTGGGTTGCATCTCCGAGCCGACACATGCTTGCTCGTGGTTTAGAGGCTTTTTTGTGATGTATTCTTCACATTCTTTCGCCGTATTGAAAGTTCCGTCCCCCTGGGTTTGTACGAGTGTTCTGTTGTGTTTTCGATTCTGTTGGCGCTCGCAGAAGGACACGCGGGGGTCAGGAAGGAGGAAAAAAGAAACAACAAGAGAGACCGTTTGTCGAGCGCTCGGCAGCCGCGGTTGGACGTCGGTCGCTCTCGACTGGCCACTGCTAAAAATGTCCTTCGCTTCCAAATCGATGTTAAACGGGTCTCGTAATGGTGTGGCTTTTGGTTCTTTTCGCTCAACGGTGACGGCCCCGATAGTGCCGCTCGGGGGACTCGGCTCTATAGATTTCCGATTCTTTTGATTGCGTACGATCTGTTTATATCCTGCCCCGAATTCCGGTGCGCTGCGCATATCGCGGACTTTCCTCGAGGACGGAGTCCTGTCGAGTGTCCTGTGACGTGGGTTCATCCGAAAGGGGGAGATGAGAGTACTCCAAACTCCTTTCTAATGGACGATATCCTTCGCCTCTGAGAGGCGGCTGACGAGCGTACATTTTGTTTCGAATTCGGTAGTTGTCTCAGACTAGGAGTCCCATTTCCGTTTGAGATATTCATCAATGCTTTCTGATTAGGTGATAAGGAGAAGAATACTCGCTCATACTCAATATTCCACTCTGGAAACAGGTGGGAACACTGTGCTCGGGACAATTATGCCTTAGGATGCCCAAGAGAGGATTCGCCTTCTTTGAAACGACTCCGGGGAGAAAATGTTTGAACGGAGCCCCCTGACCCGTGACCGTCCTAAAGAGAAACTCATCCATTCCGCTGCAGTTCACACGGTGACACGGAGAATGTCTTTCGAATCGGTTCGCATCGCGGCGTCGCGTCTCACATCCCCCTTATCTTTGCCTTCACGCCTCTTTTCCTCGGAATTCGTCCCGTTCCGTATGTCGCAGCGGAAACTATTCCGGGCATCTGCTCAGGAAGGAGTCGGGAGACATTAGACTGCGTGGCAGGCAGGGCGTATGAGGCCCGTGATTCCTTCGAGTTGATCCCCATAGGAATTGTCGCTACATAATCCCCTAAATACCCGCAGTGTTGTTGGAACCGCGGGGAGACATAGACGGAGCTTGCTGAGAGAGAAACCTCCATCAAATTTTATGTTTACAGGCCATGTGCGTATTTCGGACCTCGGACTCGCCGTGGAAATTCCTAAAGGCGACAGCGTTCGCGGTCGAGTCGGGACCGTAGGATACATGGCGCCGGAGGTTGTCGATAACGAAAGGTAATCTCATCCGAAAGCCTCTCGGCGAATCTCACCTGCTCCTTCCTTGGAAAGTCCGCTCATATCCTTTTGAATCTGAAAAAATATCAACCCCCTCCATCACTCCATCTATCTCTTGATGTTCCCTCGATGTCAATTGCTCCCCACCGAGCTTCTGATTCTTCCTTCTACGATTCGTCTCTCGCGTACGGTGACTGACCTCCGTCCTCGTGTTTGCGCAGTAGTGAGCAGTCAGCACGAAAACCCAATGATGAGTGAGCTTCGTAATTATTCTGCTGACGCTGACCTGCAATTCCGTCAGGGGTGACATCGGAGCCACCTAACGTGGGTCTCGGTGGCTGACGTGGGGTGACCGATCCGGGACAAAAGTCAAGGGTCGTTGCCACGCAAACAATCGCGGAATGAATCGCCGTCGCACGGTATTACCTCTCCGTTCGGCCTCGTCGCTATTCCCGTGGCGGATCCTGTCGCTTATGGGAACGCGAGATGAGATCTTTGAAATATGAGCTTGCTTCCGAAAACAATGAACGCCCCAGGGTCCATGATGTTTTCCTGTACGTGGCTCTTTCTTTATTCATGCCGCGCATTTTCTTCATCGAATCAGAGTCGGCCATCATGTAAATACGCGTAGTTTCTGAGAAAAAGTTTTGGGAAGCGTTCCGAGAGAGGGAAGACGAATCAGGAGTTTCTGCTCAGGATTCAGCCCGAGCTTGCTTGAATGAGTTGTGATCCGGGACCAGTCCCGGGAGTAGGGGGGGGGGGGCTCCTGGGGACGGCGATTGAGCACGCCTCGCCGTCTGGAGTCGGAAAAAGTTTTTCCCCGACGTACTTGCGCTGTGTGATTATCGACGGTGGGCACATCGTACGAAGGCAGATGTGTTGCAGGTACACTTTTTCACCCGACTGGTTCTCACTTGGGGTGCTCATCTTCGAGATGATCGAGGGACAGGCCCCATTCAGGGCTCGAAAAGAGAAAGTCAAGCGTGAGGAGGTTGAAAGGCGAGTTCGCGAAGACAAGGAGAAATACTCTTCAAAGTTCTCGGATGAGGCCAGAGCGATCTGTCAAGCCCTCCTCGCCAAGCAGCCTTCCAACAGACTCGGTACGTGTATCCCACTTAAGTTGGATGACCTGACCTACTTCGTATAGTTTATTATCCGTAAAACTTAGTTCAGCGATTCAAGTCTTTCCCCCGGAATCCGAGAACTATTATCTATCTGGATTAGGCAGAACTTCAGCAAGTGATGACATCCTTCGAGCTCCGGTTTCGATCGAAAGGGAAGGCGGCGATCTAGTCGAGGAAAGAAAGTTTTGAATAAGACGTTGAACGAAACCCCTTTCATCCACAGCCTGTCGGAGCGGGAACAACGGGGCGTCTGAGCTCCGGCGGCACGCGTACTTCAAGAACGTGAACTGGAAACGATTGCAGGAGGGCATGCTCGAACCTCCTTTCTTGCCAGACCCGCACGCGGTCTACGCTAAAGATGTTCTCGACATCGAACAGTTCTCAACAGTCAAAGGTACACCTACGTCGTAGTTTGCCTGCATAAGAACTCACGGGCACGCATCGAGCCGCTGCCCAACTCCGCAGGCAGTAAATATCTTAAATAATTCGGGTACTTCCAGGCGTCGCTCTCGATGCGACCGATGAAAATTTCTACGGTAAATTCAATTCGGGCTCCGTTTCGATACCATGGCAACAGGAAATGATTGAGACCGAATGCTATAGAGAGCTGAACCAATTCGGGGAGGACGGTGGGCCTTCGCCGGATCTCATGTTAGACGGACCTCCTCCGGAAGAATATCAGGGCTGCTTCCCATTCAGACGGAAAGCTAAGTGAGTTACCCTAGGCCGACAACGACAAGATCCTCGATCGATTCGTCGATGAATGGATGCAACCTATGAGCGCATTTCGGACCTCGGACTCGCCGTGGAAATTCCTAAGGGCGACAGCGTTCGCGGTCGAGTCGGGACCGTAGGGAAAACTCTCTCTGTCTCTGTCTGGCTCCGCAATGATCAAGCGACGAGTGCCGTATTCTTCCCGCTGCGGGCTCTATTGATTGACCGTCCCTAAGATTGTCCCAATTATTGCTTTCCAGGAAACACGGGGCTGTGGGGAGCGTGGGAACGATCTACGTCAAGAACGCCGGGCTATCGACGCCGAAAATTCACGACGATAATCTATCGCAGGAGCAGACTCGAGACAAAGAGAACAGCAATCACCGACAGGAGAACTCAAGGCCGACATCCGGCCATGCCAAGGAATCTTGACTCACACGCGGCTAAAGGCGGCACGATAGGAAATAAATGTTGTAAAGAAATGGCAAGGGCCCCGCAATCCAGCATATCTGACCGATAACGGACAACCGATACTGTAAATACCTTTTGATACTCAAAGACAACACCCGGGGGAGCGAGAACATCGACCCCGGCGATGGCGACAAGGACGATTTGTACCGCCCTCGGGGAAGCACTTAGGGGAGTGCACAGCGTGGGAAGCAGCTATACAAGCCCGAACTCTGCTGCACGGCGTTTCGTGTTGTACGTGCGCATCCCACGATTGTTCGGCGAGCTCGCCAGCTTCTCCTGCATTCCCGTTCGGATGATTCCCGACTGAGGAGGAGTGGGGGAAGAGAGAGCTTTCGTTCGAACGTAGAAAGTGGAGGCTGTTCGCGACGAAGGGCATAAGATTCGATCGAGCAGCGTGTTGGAGAGGACGATGACGAACCAGTATTAGAATGACTGCATCCTAGGAGCCACCGGATCGGATGGAAGTAGAGCCCGAGCGGAATCCCCGGCGGAGGGAAGCACACTGCAGAGAGATACGACCTTTATCGAATTCACCACGAGCATTTCAGTCCGCATGATTCAATCGATCGAAAACTCGATTTTCGACCGACAGCTCGATTCCCTACTCGCGCGGGAGGAGTCAAGTTTGAGCGTCGGAAGGATCCGAACTAGGAACGGCATTGAAAACGATTGCGCTGAGGCGCATCGAACCGTGCCGAATGGCCACAGACTGTGCGTTGGATGAGCCGATACGTGTTGCCATGTGGCGATCAAGTTTGACTTTGGAATCGTCCTCATGGCTTTGTGAATCTGCTGCTGTACATATACGTAAATATATAAATCAACGATCCTATCCGATTCATCGATCGACTGAATGATTAGATGAGATCATGACGACGATAAGGACTATGATAAACATAATAATAATAATAATGATAGCGATATTGAGGATGATCATGATGATGATTAGCGAATTTTGGATTGACGTAGTAGTGATTTCTCGACGATGATTCTCTCTTTCTCCGTGAGGTCTGATCTGTCTATCGAGGTCTCAGCACTCGATGAGAACAGCAGCAGATCTTCTGCAATCCTCCTATAAACCCGGTGTTATATTCCTTGTTGCAATGCCCGACGTCTGCATTTCCTCTCAATGGTTCCGTTCGACAATAAGCATGAACGGCTCCATTGAATCACGTTGCACCGAAACGATTAAGTGTAGAATGTGTCCATTCTTATTCATTGCGATCAACAGGAATCGACACATGGAACAGCTGCTCTGGTGAGAGTTCACCGGCAGAATTTGAAGGAAGAGTGAGAACGCCGACCTGACGATTGGTTGTCGGATATCGACTGCAAGAATAAAGGACGGATCGTCAAGTTCGGACTCTAGCCTTCATTTTAATGAATTTATCTTCGAGCCTCGTCATCAAACTCAATTCTAATAAAAACTCCATCTCTCCCGTGTTCTACTGGGAAAAAACTACTTTATTCGAACTCAACACATTTTAACCGTAAATATACACACAGTCATCATCAACAAGGTTCTCATGAGGCCAGACGGCGACTTTTCGATTACTCCTGCCCCGTTCTGTACAAATTAGTTTCATTGGTTCACTCCTTTACCATTACTTTGTTTCTCGTCTGTTTGGCTGTCTTTTCCTGCTCTATTACTCTGAATGGTTTTTGCGATTGAGAATGAGATGCGGATTTTACATCGAGACGAATTCGCAACCAATAGGAGATCAAGCCAACGGTTGCGCCAGGGGCGAATCATCGGCTCCAATCCGTGAACTCAGGCAGCATTCCCGCAATGATTGATGGAATGAATCAATCAATCATTCACCCCAGTCTAATAGGTATAAGCGACGAGCTCGATTGCTCGATCGAAAATACGCTCACGACTGAAGCGGAGTCACACAGCTGACATCGATACATGCTCATATTCTTTCGAAGAAGCTCTCGAAATTCAGTCTGCCGGCTAATATTAATGTAGCCTCTCCCGGGAGTGACCTCTTCCTTCCCCCGTCGTCGAACGAACTTTCCGTCACTACGACGCCATGTATCCCTGACGAAAGTCAGCCTGTTCACCCTCCAGCGAAATCAGATTACCCTTGAAGCTTCGCGTTGCAGTTAAAACATTCGCCCGATTCCGGCTGAGACCAGCAAGAACGAAAGCTGACGGGATGCTTGATGATGATTTTTCATCACAACCCCGCTGTATCACACATGTGCCCGCAGAAGAACTGCGCACGAGGGCATCAATAATCCTTGAGCCGGTATGTCTTTCCTAGGAGCCTAGCTGTTCGTTTCATTAGTGGAAATTCGAAATTATAAACAAAACTACGTCAATGACTGATCCGACGGCGGATTTTCTATCGAGGTCGCGTCGGGGACCGGTGTCGTCCTGGCGGTGTCCGAGTTCAACTAGAGGAATGGAGAGGAATCCGACGTGAGACTTTCTGGTGCCTTGAGGAATTTTATTCATTATCGAAGCGCGTGACGTGGACGAGAACTTACCTCGCTCGGTTCCATCTCGAAGAGGTAGTTTGGCGTATCGAGATAAACTTTGAGCTTTGTTGGCAGCGGAAGCTCCTCAATGAGGTCTCGTCGCTGACACAGGACCTTGAAGATAGTATACCGACAAAGATGCTGGAGAGACGTCATTCTCTTGAATCTAGAAACGGAGGAAAGAATATCAAGCCGCGCGAATACAAGGGAGAGGAAGTCCATCCGCTGCGCCTCTCTCGCCGTTCCGAATAATTCGATAAGGTGCTCAACACATTCATACACAGTTTCACGATTCGCCATCGACTTACCTCGATACAGGATGGAGCAGCTGAACCCGCATCGGGCCCAGCATCGGTCTCCGATTGAGGAAGAAGAGGTAACGACCAGATCGGGAGTGAGCAACCGCATTTTCGACGAAGTCGATGATCGTTTTCGAATGGAATTTGTTCCCGAAACCGAAGCTAAAATTTCCGCCGTGATGCTCTATGCGAACGTGCCGCACCTCGCCGGTCAGCTTGAAGCTCAATGAGAATATGTAGTGTTCATCACTCGAGTCACGGACCAGAAACGAGCCGTCCGACTCATTTTGGAGAAGTCTCTCGGCAACTACTCCGGATATCGGACCCCAGTACCTGCATGAAAATCGTCCGTTTTTTTTTCTGAATTCCGGAACGCCACTTTCTCTACAACTGCTGTGAATGAGTCATCGGACGGAAGAATCGTTCAAAAGCGGTCACGGAACGAGTCTTCCAATAAAATGACAACATGAGTCAGAGACTAGTCCGGAAAAAAATACAAACCATCCGCAGTCCTTGACTTTCTCTATGCTGGCCGCGTAATCGACTAGGGGCCGCGTATTTTCCGTCATCTCCTGCGGACCGTCTCTGGGCTCCGATCCATCTTGCGGGTCATCCAGTGTGACAGCCTTAGAAGGCGTTGGCCTGTTGCAAACTTTGTTCACTCGTTCACCGGTCAACACCATAGCAATGTCTGTGAAGAAATCGGAGTGGATTAGCGGACGTCGAATTTATCCGAGCCCAGTTATCAGCACGGCGCGCGATTCCTGGACGACGCGCCTCGAGGAGGCTCTTTCCGCAGCATCGAAACAACAATATCGGTTTTGTCCACTGGTACGAGCTCGAGGCATGTAAACGTCCATGTTCTGAGTCAAGACGGGCCCGTTTGAGCGACTTCCGATGCCCCACGAATCCGATCGAGAATCAATCGGGCAAAATCCATCTAGTGATGTCCACGCTCCTCTTCTCGAAGCTCCGGATGGTTTTCGACCAACCAACGGAGCCACGAAGGAAATCCTTGCGTGTCCAAGGGGTTCAATTCCCCGTGCAAGGGGGATCGAAGAGTCTGATTATCAGACAGGACATAATTCCCACTCATTCCGTCAATGCACAGAGGCGAAACTCAACGTTGAACGACCGAGATCTGTGGGGACATTGATTTCTGATCAAGATTCCTGTGACCCTCAGAGAGCCGAAACGACCTCATGCGCTCGTATTTCCCTTCCAAGTACCATCTACAACAATAGAGCACACCTCTCAACTTTGGCGGGCTCCGGAAACGGAGAATCAACGCTGTGATCTCGAGGTTGACGATAGCTATCGTGCTGGACTGATATTTCGGAGATGCTCGTCCCGCAGAGAAGGCCAAGCGTTTCAGGCGGAAGAACCCTGAGACACCGACTTGACCTGTAACCCGGGGCCTGCCTATGCGACCGAGATGGGCGAGCCCTGCTGCTCGAGAATAATCAAGAAGGTGTATTTCTAGCACCGGAGACCTAATTCCCCCTCTAGCATCGGGAGCTCTCTCGAGGGTATCATGGGACCTCCATAGAGAAACCGGTGCCTCCGAGTGCTCGAAAATTCGTCCCAAAAAGAAAAAGTCCACCTGAATACATAACACGGCTCTATCGCCGCAAGTCTCATCGGTGGCCTGCTGGTAGCAGAGCTGCAATTCTTTAAACTCACCGTCTCCGCCGTTCGGCCCCGAAATTCACTCGCTCTAAGAGGGACACGATGAACTCGAAAAATCCACCATGCTCACACGAGCTTGTTGTGATCAACGCACGATCTGACAGACATATTTCATCTTCTTCTTTTTTGTGTTGTTGCGGACTGGTGTTCGATCTAGGGAAATACAAGGCGCTCCTGTCTGGGGATATTGTTGACCTGGGCACCCAGTCGTCTGCTGTGGGCGCGCTTTTTCGAATCCGGTCGCTAAATCCATCGGATCAGGAGACCGATAGGATTCGAGTGAAACGAATTCTCGGACGTGTTGAACTCGGTCGATCTCTTCAATAGCGTCTCTGATATTTTCATATCAGCGAACGAAGGTCGGCGCTGCGTTCCATTTTGAAGTCGGCCATGTGCCCTCGCGTGACGCTCTTCGACCGATAGAGAACATACGAAGATATCCGGTCGGATTCCCTGTGGTCTCTCGGGACGGGCGGCGCCACTAACCAACCTACGAATCCTGAACTGGATCTATGTCGACAAGTTTTCTCTGGAGTCGTATTCGGAGCCCATGCCCATTCAGCGCGGCCTGGACCGTCGGGCATTGGCTTCTCACCGAATCCAGCATGTACAGGCCGGAAGGAGAAAGAAGACTCAGAGTCACGCGAGGAGAGACTAAAATAGATGACCTTGAAGAATTGAGTCGGAACCCTTCAACGCTGATGGAAATAAGTCTTTGAGATCGGGTTTCTCAGATTTTATTACAGACCGTGGGTCTCGGGCGATCAGAGAGACCCATTTGCACGTGAATCGGATGAAATTACATTTTGCACAAGGGCATCACAGATTGAATTATCCTGAGAAAAATATATAGTACCGCTTGTTTCAATCCTTCGACTCCGGCGCTGATCGAGTGATTCACCGAAGAATCTCCGGGGGTCCGGTTCTCTTCGACGGTCTCCGACCAATTGGATTCGTTGCTCGTCGAATGCTCAAAAACTTGAACTCAAAAACGCTTGAGTCCATGACGGAATGCACGGCTCAGGTCCTCTATCTGCTCCCTGAATGAGTGTCCACGGAGCTTCCCTCACTGCATTTGTCCGAAGATTCCACAACAACCATGGTCCTGAGATGGCGACGATGAACCTCATCACATGAAACTTGAAAACGACGTCATATTCTCGTTCAAGCTCGTAAGTTCCAGCTCCATCAAGGAATTCAGACTGTCGAGCTGGGTCCTATGATCTTTGTTGTCTTTGACGATGAGTTCCACGTTCGGTTTCCTAGTCAACGAATCCGTCATTCCGGTGATCGATTCGTTCTGGGATTCACTCAACATCAATTTTTTGATCACGTTCCACACAGCGACACGCCGCTCCTGTTGCATCAGCTGGAGCTTGGTCTGTTCTCGGGCCACTTCTGCGGCGAACGTCTGACATTGTGCTGCGGCCGCCTGGACTTCTCTGACATGACTCAGAGCCACGCAGAATTGAGCGCTCAATTCTTTCAGGAGTCGCGTGTATTCCGACTTGAAGTTCTGAACGTTCACCGTCATGTCTTCGTTTTGACGGGTGGGGTTGAACTTCTTCAAGGTGGCGAGAACCTCGTTGCGTAGGCTCTCGAGATTCGTGGGCGGTTTCGAGCAACTGTAAGGATTCTCCCTGAGTTTCGCCAGCTGCGAGTGCAAGGTATTGGCTCGAGCGACGATTTTCGTCATATTCGCTTTGATCGCAGCTACATTCTGCAGTAGGTCCGGTGTTCGAATTTCGCGGAGCTCCTCGAGCGCCGAGTGGGCGTACTTCGCCATTTGAATTCGATCGTAGTCCTGATTGTCTCTGAGGATTTTCGCGGATATTTTCACCTCTTTGTAGCTGGCGGACAGCACGCTCAGCTTGGCGTTGAATTCCGAATGCAGAGAATTCAGATAAAGAATGAGCGTTCGATACGCTGCGAGTGTCGCAATGCAGTTCGAGTACTCGCCGTCGATATGATGGTACATTTCCTGCCAGAGCCGTTTCCTCCTCGAATCGCTGCCCGGCGAAGCGAGTCTCTGGGCGACGTGTGCAGGTAAAGGTTTCGCGGACAGGATATACGAGCTATTGAAGCTGAAGATGTACGCCGTGACCAAGTTGCATTCAACGTGTGGAACAACTCGTTCCATGAGCTGAGCAAAGGAAATCGATTTCCCGTCGGCCGAGATCAACAGCTGGTTCGACGGGAGTATCATCGTCCCGGTGTGGAGCTCCTCAGGGGTCGAACTCTCGGTCAGAGTCACCATGCTCTGAGAGGTCGTGTTGAAAATCTGGACTACTTTCCTGTTGAGCATGGATACCATGGCTTCAAGAGAGGAGATTTTCGGGTCGGGATTCCGCTGTTTCGGATTGAAGGAGAGCACCGTCCTCAACCACATGGTCAGGTCTTCCTTGAAACGTTTCTGCAGCGGCCGATCTGGAAGATCTTTCATGTATTCGATGCCTTGCGGGGTACGCATGGCGTAAATAATTCCTGGGTTGTGCTCCATGAGCTTTGGGGCATGCTGTTGCATTTCTTGCCAGGACACTGCCGCGAAAGGACGGATTCCTGTCGTGATCTCGAACGCGACGATGCCCAACGACCAATAATCCACGAGATAATTATACTTCCGCGTAGATTGGAAAATCTCGGGAGCTATATAGGCCATCGTTCCAACGAGGGACTGCGTGACACTGTCGGGGTTCAAGACTTTAATGTATCCGAGATCGATGATTTTGTAGATATTCCTCTCGGTGCCCGTGAGCTGTATGACGATATTCTCTGGCTTGATGTCTCGGTGAACTATGTGCTCATTATGGAGATATTGCAGACCGCGGCACATATCGTACAGGACGTGGCGGACCTGTTGCTCAGGTAACCACCGATACTCCGGCCGCTCCATGAGAGCTCTCAAACTGCCCCCGTTGATGTACTCCATGCCGAGCGGGCTCAGCTGCGTATTTAGTTTCGCCAGGAGCTCATCGGGTAGAACCACAGCCTGCACGATGTTGGGATGCTTGAGCTTGTACATGGTTTCCACTTCCTTCTTCCAGTACTCAATATGCTTATCTTTCCGAGCGTCGGCATCCAGCGAGAGGAGACGGATGCATTCCTGAAAACGAAGAAAACTGTCTGCTCCGGAAGGCCACAGGTGAATGACGCTGACCGTGAAAACGGCAGAGGAAACTCATTCATCGTGTTCCCCGACAGAAAAAAGTTGTTTCGATAACTTAATGGGGTCTAGTCAGCAAAAAAAGATAACCCCGAGAAAGGCGGGACGAACCTTGACAGCGATCAGCTGCTGCGAGTGAACTTCTTTCCATACGGAAACTTCACCGAAAGAACCTTTGCCGAGAACTTTGATTTTCTGCCACTCGACCGGGCGTTTTTGCTGGCTGCTCGGATCGGCCATATCTCTCGTGCGCGAGTCCGGTGATGCGGAGTTTTTCCTCGAAGCTTCTCACATCCGGGTGTTCGCGTGGCGCTGCATGAGAAAACAGTGTGAGGAGCGCCTGACACCTTCAGATATTTAGCGGCACCTTCCCAGACCGATCCCCTGTGAATTCACGCTTCAGCCCAAGGGTCGGGAACAGCTGACCAAGCCAAGCCAAGCCAAGATCCGTAATCTCGGGCTGAATCAGATATTCGAAAAGCGTCAGAGGAGCAGATACGAGATTGACGCTGGGATACTTCCTTCAAGAAGTTAAAGTGCACCAGCTGAAACCGTTTCCACCGTGAGATCACACGAAGACGATTTTTTAGCGTCGGTCGGAGCCTCATGGATGTCGACCATCGGGAGAGAAAGGAAGCTCTCACGGGACGCACGGTCGCTGACGAGGCGTCGAGTCCTCTGATACATTGAACATCGATTGCTCACCTGTTCAATACGCAGAGTTCTGTCTCGTTCAGATCGCTCTCGGGGTAGTGGGGCGGAGTACGGATTTGACAACTTTCAATAGACAAGAAACTGGATCGATGAGTCAACCACGGACCCTGACCCGGAGTTCGCAGCTTCTGAGCTCCGACGAATGAAAAGTACAATGGTATAGTTAGTCAGACACTCGGAGCTGCTCAACAACACAACACTTCTTGGGCTCCCTACAACAAAGTTTCATGGGAGAGGCACGGCAGTTTCACTCTCCATGCGAGATATGACGCGGGCTTTTCGAATGGGTACCTGATTCTGCCGTCCGCTCCCGCGCTTCACCGAGAGCGAAATCGATGGGATAAGGCGCCAAAGCTCCTCTTCTCGCTCTCCGGTTCCCGGTGAAACGAAGGAGCATGGACCTCACCCGGAACAGCGTTTCCCGACTCAGATCGTGGCTGCATTGGTACTGGAGCGTTACGGCGGCTTGCTTTCGAGCCATAATTGAAGGAATGGAGAGCTCTGATGCATGTCAAGAGATATATTTGCATCTAGCGTATTTCAAGCTCTGGAGTCTGGAGGGAGGATCTGGGGAGAGTTCTGCGACTGATGGAGAAGGTGTATCTGAGTCCCTGACATCGATCCAGAGGTGCAACCAGCGACCTTTCCACTCAGACGTCGTACGAGAGGGCAATCGGATCTGGATTTGGCATCCCCGGTCATGCAGCACCTATTCCAAGTTCGTGACCTTGGTCTGCATGATCTCGGACAAGTTCTGACCGATATCATGCGTGTGAAGATTATCGACCCCATTTTCGGCGGTATTTGATCTTTATGCAATCGACGGAGGTATGCATACGCCTCGTCAGGCCAAGTTCAGGAAGGGGGATGATACCCTCAGGATGAAGGCTTTGATGGGAGTTTTGCGCTTCGAATTCGCCGGTCCGCTGTGAACACTTACGAGACAGAGAGGGAAGCATCGCAAGAGACGGAATCATTCTGAAGGAGTCTAGAGATTCGATCAAAATTCCAGAAATTCTATGAGCTCAAGAATGTTCTGAACCCGATTCGTCTTCCTGCAAAACATTCTTCGAGGACTACATTCGATCTTCGTCGAGTCGTCGCCACAAAAAAAGGTCAATCGTAAGACTAGTATGAACGTTAAATTTATTGCAACATCCTACTTCGAGAGGGCATCCTTACCGTATAAGCCATTGAATTTCTAAAATTTCTATGAATTTCTCCTAAGGATCTCATAAGGTCTGAAACTTTTTTGCTTTTCTTTCATGGGCAGCTCGAGCAGCCTCCTGCATTGGTTCTTCGTCTAAATCTTGATTCGCCATAGAGGGTAGCCGTACATCGACCCGCTTCTCAGTTACAGCTACGAATCGTATCATGGCGTCGAGCGGTGTCAGGCTCAGATCGGGGTTCCGATGAGGTGGATGGTGTTGGAGCATCGTTTGCAACCATTTGGTGAGGAGTCTGCCGAAGGACGGCGTGAATTTGCATCTGACCGGCAGCTCGTTGAAGTATTCGATGCCCATTAGCGTCCGTCTACCCCAGATCGTGTCCTGCTTCTTGCCGCAAGTCGGGATGTCCCGGAAGGGTCGGAAACCGGTGGCTACCTCGAAAACCGTCACTCCCAGCGACCAGTAATCAACCAGATAGTTATATTTGCGGACATGACTGCCAGATTCGAGGATTTCCGGAGCAGCATACGCAGCCGTTCCAATGAACGAACGCGTAATGCTCCGGGGGTCGAGAACCTTCATGTAGCCGAGGTCGGTGATTTTGTAGACGAAACGTTCGGCTTTCTGGATGACTATATTGTCAGGCTTAATGTCTCGATGAACAATATGCTTCCGGTGTAGATACCGCAGACCGGCACAGATGTCGCGAACGATTTCCCGCAGTTCGTCTTCGGGAACACCCTGCCGATAATGACGGCAGAACTCTCTCAGACTTCCGCCACTGCAGTATTCCATCGCCAAGGGCGGCAGCTTGCACGTGAGCTGTGATCGAATTTCATCAGGCAGAGCGTACCCCCGTACAACGTTGAGATGACGCAGCTTACTCATCACTGTCACTTCTTTCATCCAATAGTTGATCTGACGCCGAGAGAATCTCCTGCGTGTGGAAACCTAAGGGAGAGAAATAAACTGAGACTCCTGTCTCCCATCGCAAGGAGCTTTTATCATTGTCAGGGAGCTTCCATTACCTTTATGGCAAGTTTATCCTTTGTTTCGGAGTTCTCCCAGACCGATACATTGGCTGTCGCTCCTTCGCCGAGATTCGCGACCCATCTCCATCCGCGAGCCTCTTCGTCGATGATCGTTGTGTATTCGGAATCGGCTCCGGTGTCCGAGATTGAAGCCTCCTAGAATGGATCACAGCACTCAAAAAGAAGTTGGAATAAGCGGGAACTTCAGCCTTCTGAATCGGAGACTTGCCATTGCAGCTCGACACGGATTGCCGGAAACAGAACGAAACAGTTTGGAAACCCTCTGGATGAAGGGAAGAAATGTTTAAGCGCGAGCTGGAACGTTCGAGCTGTTGTTTGTTTCGGATTCGCTTTCTGAGATTGGCATGTTTGCGGTGAACGTGCATTCGATCCGTTCTTGGAGGCCGCCGACGAGTCGGAGCTTCCTGGATCTCGGGAACCTTGGCATTGGGCGTTTGGATGCTGCCGAGGATTCAAAATTAACGGGAGGAAATTCATAGTTCGAGTGGAGCCTTGTTTTTATCGGTTCTCCAGACATACTTGTCGATATATGGGTCGAATCATTTCGAGAAGTCCCTGTCTCGAGGACCTGCGGGAATTTCCTCGCGGACTGGAGCTTCGATCCAAAATTTCTTCGCAGGCCGAATCTCTCACGTCGTATGTTCCCCGCGAGGTATGGAACGAATGAAGTGTTAGACATACCACGCTTTACGCTGCCAAGGTTTTCTGCGGAGGCTCTCCGAGCGACATCGAATCGCGCGTACGCTGATTGTCGGATGAGCCCCGGCCGGCAAATCAAGGCGGAGCTTCTCGTTGGAAAAATTCTCTTCGCCGATCCTACCCTCAATCAGCCTCATTCAGTTTTTACACAGATGAATTCCCCGTTAGAGCCCCGGGCCCGAGCGGAACTATAATTGGGAGAGGGGGTGGCGGGCCGCAGATATTGATGTAGATTCGGACCCATGGGCCACGGTTCGAGCTAGACAAAACCGCTCTCGAGACCTGATCTGACCCCGTAGGTTTACTCGCAAAGCCGTAATCGGGGAAGGACGAAGCGGTCGATATGAAGCTAAGCTGAACCCCAATTAAACCTACTTTTCGTTATGGAAGTCGGTCCGGACCCCTATCCGGAGGCACCTTTCCCGAGGACGACTTTCGAACGCGAGCCGCCCCAGGCCGATTCGATATCCTTCCAGAATTTCACCGGGAAATTCCTGGCGCTCTCAGCATGCATCTACACGAAGGAAGAGTAGCTCTCCGATTCCACGATCGACAATTTTATTAGGAATATTACAGTGAATACAAGAATGTACAAAGACGTGGAAGAATGACTGCTCACTTCAGATACTTGACCCCCTGCTCTTTGAGCATCTTCGCGGAGCTTTTGCCGTCTTTGAAAAGTTGATCGCATTCTACAATGTCACACTTCTTGATCTCCTTCCGACCGTGGATCTTAGCGACTAGAGCTGCAGGACTCATGAGTTGCACCGCGTACCTCAACGTGGCCCTAACTCCGATCTCGCTAAGTTCCTGGTAGCTCTCATCCTCGAGCTCGAGCTGCTCAGTCGTTCCTCGAAGTTTCAGAATCTGCATCACTTCCTCTTGGTTGTAGGGCGTCAACCTGACGACGAGCAGCCGATCGAGAAGATCGAGAGGAACACCGTGCGGAGCAAGCTGTCCCGTACCCCTCACGTGGCACCGGCCCCTGTTCGTGGCCATCACGACCACCGGAGCGATCATCGACTCCATGGCGCGGTGAAGGAATGTGAAACACTCAATATCGAGCATGTGAACTTCGTCGATGAAAAGAACACCCGATACCAGTTCGGCGATACCTTGGTCGATGTACTTATTGACGCTCTTGTTGATCTCTTTCCGCAATTTGTCGGTGATTTCGGTTTTGCGCGGTTTCATCAGCTGGCCCATCATGGAGAGAATGTCCTGACCGCCCTGTGGTCGAGCGTTCGCAACGTCCAGATCGTGGAGCGTGACGTCCTGAATGACCTCCTTCTTCTTGTGAACATCGCCCTTTGGCAAGGGAACATATTCCTCAGCTTCGAGGTCGAACTCTGTCGCGAAAACATCGCTTCTCCCTTGTCGTTTCACAGAACCAGAATTTGCCTCGATATAGATGACATCACCGACCTCCACTTTTTCTTTCTGAAGTGCTTCGTAGATGGCTGGATCCAGCTTCAATTGTTTCGTTCCCTTCGCAGTTCTCAGACCGACGAGAACATGGGAGATCGTCTTCCCGTAGCCTCCGATGGGATTCTCTGTCTCCACCGGGGTGATTTCGGTGACTTCACCTTCGTAGACTTCCTTGGTCTCCTTAATACGGAGGCCCAACGATCGACGGAAGTTCTCCATCAGGACTTCTGTTTTCTTCACTTCGTTCGAGTACACCTCCGAGGCCACCATGGGACAGAAAGGGACCTTGTTTCCCAGCTCCTGTGAGATTGCCAAGGCTAAAGCTGTCTTGCCAGTTCCGGGAGGTCCCGCGAGCAGAACTGCTCTCCCAGCCATTTTCCGTGAGCGTATCATGTCGACGATTACACCACATGCTTCGCGCGCCGTTTTCTGACCCACCAGACCGGCGGCTTGAGGTATGGCAACTCCCTGCTCGTCGAGACCCAAGCCCTTGACGTGGGAGTGCGCCGCCACTCGCTGGATCTTAGCAGAGTTGCACTTAATTTCGTCGACCTTCATTCTGCTCATTCGCACTCTTGGTTAGAACTCGGCACGAAAAACGTTTCACCGGCCAGCAGCGTGCTCGCTCCGGGAGTAAACAACGCGATTCTAACCTTCGGAGCGCCAGTTCACTAAGCGACGGAAGTCGGAGTATGCGGATGCTCACGATTGGATTCAAATCCGAATGGCCGCCAGAACCATCGAGCTCGGTCGACAGACGAAAGAAAAAAGTGAGTCCTCGGCTTGTTCTTCCGCGACCGATGGGTGCGTTGAAGGGAGGGAGTTACGAGATGAGCCTTCCCTCCGAAGCATCACAATTTCCGAATGATATGGAAAGATCTGTGTGGAAGCTTTGGACTGAAAACGGAAAATGCGCCGCGTAATGGCGCGAAGAAATCATGGCGCGACATCTGATAGCGAGCATCGCCTAAAATTGAGACATTGAAGTTTTGGATATCTCCGACTCGGCGTCTCGGCGACTGCGTGACGCGAATTTGGCAAAATAATCCGGATTCAGGATATCCGTCGGTGGCGGGAGTCGGCTCGATTTTTTTCATCAAGCACAATCCCAAGGCGTAGGAATCGGAGCGTCCCCAGCTATTATTCCGAGATCGTCGCTGAGGAGAGACGTAGGTAGCGAATGCTTTCAGCGGATCCAGGCCGGGAGCTGCTGCTTCTCATCGAGATGGAATGCTGATCGAATAAGTTCAGTCTTGCCCAAGCCTCGGAATCAGTCAGTAGTAGTAGGCTGTACACCTCATGGGTGACGACTGTGTCCCTAATCCGAACCTGTCTCGAGGAGGGGAGAAGAAGCATGCCAACCCAGGCTCGACAAAATTCGGGCGATTTTTGAATGGCTCGGAGCGATTTCCAACCCGGCTCCTGCCAGTCTCCTGCCCTTCGCTCTGCTCAAGAAAGTTTCGCCTCAGAGCGCCATTCGCAATCGTGGTAGATCACGCAGGGTGTTACTAAGGAGACGACAATGTACTCGAGAAACGTGGAACAGGCGATGTAGTACGTGCTGATGAACGACTTCGACTACGCGGTAACAAATCGGACAATCCTACTCGAAACGTTCAGGGACGCTTTCCGGATGGGTAGTCAGCAATACGCGATGATGATGAGGCAAATGAAAATATGAAGAGGGCTCATCTGTCGATCCAATATAAATACGATAGTCTTTGTGGCTAAAAGGACCCATTCATTCGAGTCTTGATCATCATTTCAGGTACACCTTCTCTACATGCTCTACATACTGACTGAAAATAGAAGTAGGACGACCCGTCATAGTCATATTCATTTCTTTCGAATGGTGCTTCGGCCAATGTTTGCGAGAACATGCGAGTGCCTTTTCAATGGAATCTGTTTTAAGTTGCCTATATCCTTTCCGTCCCTTCCTGTCGGCACACAAAACACAGCTATAGTCGTATGTCTTAGGAGACCCACGCAATCTATCTCTATACAGAACCGAACCCCTTGAAATGGAGGGCGCAAGTATCAAATATTTCGAGATCGATTCAGAGCGGATTCAACGTCGATCATGATCTGATTACCGGACGTTGAAAACCCCAGTTCTAATTTCGTTTCGTCCGAGCTCCTATACTTTTGTGAGAAATCAGACGAGAACGTGGTCTGACCCGAGACCGAGATCGACGCGCCATCACGTAGAATTCTCCGACATGACTCGAGTCGACTCACGAATTGAGTGAATGCTCCGTGGAGCGCAGACCGTGTTGTCAGTTTCATTCTGAAAATCTGTCCATCCGCATCGGAACAAAAGTCTTAATCAAGTGAATGTGGTACGAAGCCCCATATCGGTGCGGCAACCGAACCTGGACCGCGAATTCTCGGCTTGGTCCAGACATAAGGCACGTAATGGTGAGATTACTGGAAAGCTCGCCTTGAGATATACGTAGATGAAGGCGTATATGAGTGTCTTCTCGCCTAATCTTTTAGGGAGCAGCCAGCCTTTACCCAAACAAATTCCTCTCGAAGCACCTTGCTCTCCTCCATCGATTGCGATCTCCTCCTCTCTCTCTCTCTATTCTTTAGAGTTCCGTTCCGATGCGGAAGGGACGCGAGATCCATCTCACTCCCTACTATTGCGTCTTTCCATCGACAGGCGGATCTACGATACTTTTCCCGTACAGTCAGAACAAACAATGCCCACATTTTCTTCAATGTAGTTCCGAATTCGCGGCGTTCTGGAATCACATACTCCACAAAGAAAACCGTCCCTAATAATGCTCTTAACAACCTATTTTCGAGGAGAGTTGCACGCCATCTCAGAAATGTAGATACCCCCCCTTTTATTACCTGAGTAAAACCGTTATGAATGAATGAAGATTCTGGAATGGGGCTCAACTAATTTGGTCCAGTTCAATTCCCTGAAGACGCAGCTTACCCTTTTCACAAGAAAACCAAGCCCTTAGTCCAACCATCTCTTTCGACAACGAAACGCTACTTCCTTCATCGGATATCTCTATTTTAGGCGTGTGCCTTTCATCAAGTCTTAAATGGCACAATCACATAGCAAACATGGCCAAGTCAGCTTCCCGAAAACTAGGATTCCTCTTCAGAGCCAAACGTTATTTTTCTCCCTCTCATCTTCCTTTGCTCTATAGAACCCACATCCGTCCCTCTCTTGAGTACTGCTCGCATAGCTAGGGCGAAGCCGCTCCTTCATCCCTCTTTATCCTGGACTCTATTCAAAAACGTGCTATCCGTCTCATCGGTGATTCAGCCCTATCCTGATTGAGCAAGTTCAAATTTTCACGCCAGCTGGAGCGATGACTCGCTGTGCCACGGATCGCGATCCCACTCTAAAGAAAGTCATCGAGCGTATGGCCAGTGGTTGGACAAAGAGTGACTTTAAAGACGAATAGCTTCGGCCATATGCTCAAGAGGCCGACGTGCTGTGTTGTGCTCAGGGAGTGATACTCTGTGAGGATCGCGTGGTGATCCCGGTATCCTTGAGGGCGTCAGTTCTGGAGAAACTGCATGCAGCTCACCCGGGGATTGTCCGCATGACAGCTCTCGCACGTGCCCACTTCTACTTGCCGAAGATGACGGCGGATATCGAGGCGCCGCACAGTGGGCCAAATGGCCGAATTAGGCGGACAAAAGTCGAGCTCGAAATTTGACACCCCACATAGCGTCGGAATCTCGTCGGAACATGGGAAGACGTGGGCAACAATCCTTTCCGACTCCGCTTCGATCAAAATGAAGTGGAGAGACAGCCAAAGTCGATGATTCATACGATTCCAGAGGAGCTTGTTTCCGCGATTTTTCTCATTTGTGTTTTGTTGCTTCGAAAGAGTATCGACAAAGACATCGGAATGGAAAAAGGAACACGCCGTGAGTTGAAGTACTTCTTAAGTCCGCATTCAAGACGATTTGAGAGCGGACGATCGGTGTTTACGGTCTTAAATAGAGTGTTTCTTCGAAACCTAATTTCCATAGAATCACTAGGAAGCAGATTATTCAATACGAGACATGCCACCCGTGTCCCTCGCTGAAATATTTTTCTTTACAAGTTCCGGCTCTAAACTTCCCAGAAAAGTTGTCGAGAGACCGCGCTTCGTAGCGCTTCTCGAGTTCTAATGCCCCAAACAGGGGGATCGTAAGACCTTCGAGACTAACTTGCTGTCCTCAGGAATCGGGATTTCTGTGCCGAAGGTTCAATTTCTCGATGTTTGGCGTCAGTGTCAGGATGACAACGGTCCAGATTCACTCATACGATGGATTTTTTCGCAATGCGTAGACAGCGTGGAAGAGTGCCATTTGATCGACCGACGAGATTTGAGGCATGAAGTCAGTCGTGTTATTTCGAAGCTTCGCAAGAAGCACAAGAAATGCCGTCGAGGCCGCGATGAACTCGTTTGTTTGTTTCGTTGATACTTTAGCATCAATGAATCCGGGCAAGCATCTCATCGTTGTGATAGAAAAAGAGACAGACAAGAGTGTCTTGTTGTCTCTTTCTCGAAAAGGCGCCAGACCAGCTCCTGGCTTCCCTTTTGAGAAATTCCGAGCCTCGACCCAAGGCATCGAACACGAGAGCTAGATCATATGAGAAGTTTGTCAAGGGGGGGAGATGGAGTATTCCATCCGCATGATTTCGTCTCACGAGCTCCGGTTCCGTGATACGCGGGGTTTGTAATGAGCGGAGCTTCGAATTCGTGTATCTCGAGCTTCGGAACATCGAATTAGACAAGCAGCGTCGGATTCGAAGTGTAAAATAATTTTTTCCACCTAATTTGGCCATTTGGCCCGCTGTGCGCCGGTGAAGTCGCGTGGACATTGTGCCCAGCACGCAGCCAATCCGATCAAGCTTCCCCTGGCTCCGTGGCCCGATCCTGGAGGGGGAGGATCTATTTGGATTTTGCGGAGCCGCAAAAGGGAAAATCCTTCCTGGCATTGGTCGATGCCTTTTCAAAGCATGTCGATGCCACTTTCATGCACTCCTGCACCAGTCACGAGTTGGTGGAGTACCTGAAGGTTGTTTCCCGTCTTGTTGGGCTGCCCGAAACTGTTTTCTCTGACAATGGGCCGCAGTTTGTGTCCGCAGAGTTCGCTTAGTTGTGTAGCGGTTTCAAGATCGTGCATCTCAGGTTTGCTCCGTGCTGCCCACACAGCAATGGGTTAACAGTTGGCAGAGAAGATGGTGGGAACTCTCAAACGTTCGCTTGAGAGACCAGATCAAGTCTTTCTGGGCAGAGCGGTGACGGCCTGAAACTATATCCCCAACGCTGCACTCAATGGAAAATCACCAGCGGAAGTTTTCTTCGGCAGAAGTCTCCGTTCGTCTTCCGCTGTGTTCCCTTCGATCTCAAGTACTATCACGGGTGCCGCTGAGAAGTTTAAGAACGAATCCGACAAACATCACGATGCTCGCTGCCGCTCCTTCGAAAGACGGGGGGCGAGGGTTGTCGGATTGAATAAGAAGCGGAGAGTACCGGGTACGTTCTTGGAGCGCGTCGGGCAAGCGATGGCGCGCGTTGAGGCCGATGCGAAGACTATCAAGC